TGTCCTGTTTCACCCACAAGCCTACAAGCCCACTCACCCACATCCCACACCCTTGACCAAAAGGGTGCGGTTTAATCCCAGACCACCAAAAACGAGGTAGGATGCACTCAAAGAAATTTTGGTTTGTTCTTTTGGAAGAGGTTCTATTTTGTTTTAAAAATATTTTTAGTTCCGGGTTCGAAATTGCGTGAGGAAAATTTTGTTTTCTTTTTTTTTTCTTAAAGATAAATAAATAAATATGGTGGTATATTAAATGGGTAAATATTGCAGTTTAAAGAAAAAAGATCTGAGGACTTACCCAAAAAATATTGACTTGGCTTGAAACTGAAAATAAAAAGAAAAATTATAATAGAAAAGGTAAAATATTATTATTCTTAATACTAAGTATTTTATAAAAAATTATCAGAAATAGATAAAGACATTTTTAAACTCTAAATCCACAATAGACGGACAAACGGACACGTGGACACCTTCATGTATAATCTTATCCCCAAAAAACATACTTTTTAAGATTAAAAATGTCCCCAACACTCTAGCTTGCATACTTTTAAACAAAATCATAAATAAAAACAAACAAAAATCACTACAAAAATATTTCTTTTAAAAACTTAAACCTAATTTCTTTTAGTGCTACTTCGTGCAAAGTAAAATTGCAAATTAATCTCACAGAAGGCAGTCATCAGGAATCAATAATTACAATTCAGGCGTAACCGAGTCAGGGGGCTAGGTAGCAAAACATACATGGTAATCCTATGGCGGATCGTATCCTGGCGATTCCAGGATTACCGTCGATCCACCCGAGAAATCCCATGGATAAGAAGCTTTGATGCGTCGAAGTCAAAACTTTTCCAGCTTAACCCAGCTTAGGCATCTAGCCAAGCCAAGGATTCGCCTTTGAATCCCTTTGGAATCCTTGACAAGCCTAACGATTTATACCTGGCTCTGGTGACTGATCCACATTTTGTTTGGTGGGCTCGTCTCGACTAATCAATTGATTATCGCCACGGATCCGATCGGATCGCATCGGATTACATCAGATTGGATAGGGAGTGATGATGGTTGGGGATGACTAACCCAGGGTTCACTGATCAGCGAAAAAGGATTGAGAATCAATGGGTTAAGATCTAGAAGATTGACTTTGAGATCCATTAGATTAAGACTCAGTTTGCACAACACAGTTTCAGGTTGGATTTAATCCATTTTGTAAATATTTTGCATAATTTGTTGAGAGATTATAGATAAGATTGGAATATATTATAGATTATATTAATATCTTTATTATTTTCCTTAATTTTCTTTATTTATTTTCCCTTAAACCAAAATTCCTTAAAATTTCGAACTTAAGGTCTAAAATACCATTTCTGGCTAATTGATTAAGCGCCGTCTTCAAGGCCCAAGGACAGCCACAAGGACTCCGCGCTGGCGTTAGGGATCCGGGCTTCTACAGGAAGGAAGGAAGGTAAAAAGGTGGAACCGGCAGCCGACAGTCTTCAAGTCTAGTTGACTTCAGCAATGTCATAAATCTTGGCCAGACCAAAAAACCAACGAGAGCCGGGAAGAAAGACAAGGAGGGAGCCAGACGGACAGACGGAACAGGGGAGGTGGCCCAAAAGGGCGGCCAGGAAGGCGGGGCGGGGCAGCACGAGGCTGGCTCCTTGTTGTGTTTCCACTTAGCCAGTGTTGTTGCTTCTGTTGTTGTTGGTTCTGGGTTGCCTCAATATAATTGTATCTTCCGTTTCATTACATGTTGCCCCCAAAGTTACCATTTGGTATACCCAGTGATTATGCATACTCAAAAGGAGGATATTATTTAGGAAGATGACTTATTAAAAAAAAATAAATAGGGCAATTATTTTTCAAAATATATATTTATATATTTATATATTTATGTCTGTATTATGTAGGTCTCTGATTAAAAATGATTTAATTTAAATCAAAAAATTAATTATTTTAATATGTAGTTTCCTATGAAATATTCTTTTCTATTTTCTATTCCATCAATCTATCTATTATTTTTAGTTTTCTATCAAAATTATTCAAATTATTTAAGTATAGTAAATATAAAAATAGTGCAATAATACGTTAAAAAGTTTTAGAAATAATTTGTAGAATAAGGATTGTATTTAAAAAATAAAAAAGGAAACTAAATATAGATATAGGAAATATAGGAAAAAAAATGAATAGGAAAAAACAGGAAAAATATTCTTTAAAATAGATAAAAAAAATTCGAACATTTTAGTTTGAATATTTTATGCTATTTAAACCTTTTTTTTTGACTATTTTCAATAACTATTCTAATAATACAGTTAAGATATTAAACAATTTTAATGTTAAAAACCTTTACAAAAAATATAATATTTAATGCAGTTACTATATTCTTGTCTGATTTTATTTCATAATTTTATTTTGTTTATAACCCACATTTATATTTAAATTTAAATTTAATAAAAAAAAGCCCTCTAAACTACAGGGTATTCAACATGTAGATCCTCAGATCACACCGTCAGAGGGCTCTTCGTTTCGTTTTGGGAGTCTCATCATTATCATTTCACAGCAACAGCAGCAAATCGTAAAATTTGTGGCCCCGGCCTCGGCCCACGTTGCGTATGCGTAATAAAAAAGACGCCGCATAATAAAAAGGGAGCAATTGTGATTAATATGCACACTAACACAACAAACAGCCAGAAAGGCGGGAGCGAGAGCGAGAGGAGCTCTTTGCTGCCGCTGTTGCAGTTGCGTCACTCTTCTCGCTTATGGTATTTCCTTCCTTTTTACTCTAACGTGTCCTTGATTGCGCGACTACTGGAATTTCTTTTAATTTTAGTAGCGGAATTTATAGGAAGGATCTTTAAATATTTTTAAAATATTAAATTATTTAATTTCGAAATTTTAACTGGAAATTTTACAAAAAATAATTTGGTTTTTATAATTAAGATAGTTTTTAGGAAGTAAATTATGATTTGTATGCGTTTTTAAGCTTAAGATTATAAAAAAAATAAAGAAAAAATCCTAGCAAATTAATAAATAATTTACTCTTAAATATTCCCAAAGATTATTATACAAATAATAATTAAATATTAAAAAAATAATAATATGTAAAAAGAAATACGACTTTTAATTTCTTAAATTCCGATTTTTATACTTAAGTTTTGGAATTTAAATTCTAAAGCTTCTGAAGAATTATAGAGGGATTATAGGGGAATTATAGGGGAAAAAAGAATACCCCATATATGGTATATCCGAATTTTTAGAATTCTTCTAAGCAATTTTGTAAAATATTTCAAAAATTTTCTTCTCTAAAAAAATTTTAATAATTCATCGACACTTCCTTGATTTTTGACCCAAAACCCAAAGGATTTCGTTTTTTGGATAAACTTGATCCCCAAAACCCTGGCCCATATGTGAGATATGATGGGGGAAGAGCGAGCGAGAGAGAAGAACTGTTTGCTGCCACTGTTGCTGATGCGCATCTCTTCACGCCACGCTCTCACTCTTCCGCTCTCCCTTTCCCGCTCCCGCTCCCGGGCCATCGTATCTTTTGTGGTGGTGTTTTGTTAACGCCCCTTTAAATACAGTTATTTCATTGGGCCGCCACCACAAATTTATTTTTATTAGTTATTAGTTGGGGGCTTGTTCGTTTTTTTTTTTTTTGGGAGTAGAAATGAAAAATTAAATACCATTAAACAGAAATTTTAATTTAATTAAAATGATGAGCCATGTCTTTTACGCCTGTTTTCTTTTTTGATACAAATTGGAGTATATGGTTGCCGGATAATGGGAATTTAAGCAGATATACGGTATAAATAATGGAGGTTTTCCATGAAACCTCAAAATGGGTTGCGTTTTGATTAATTTGGTGGGTTTGAAAATTGTTAAGAAATATTAAATAGGCGATTGTTACATTGAAAAATTAATGGTTTTGTGAAAGCAAATGAAAGTTGGAATTTTATTCAAATATTTTATAAAATTTTTCTTCTTTTCTAGAAATTATAAAAGGTTTTAAATATTATTTTTGTCTAAAAAAAATTTCAAAAAAATTTAATATAAATTATTTTTAACTAGAAATTTTTTTAGAAAATAAATTTAAAATAAAAACATTTAAAATTAAGGCTTAAGAACCAACAATAACAACAAACGCATGCTCACCCAATTGCTTTGACACACAAACACACATACAACAACAACAACACGTAACAAAAACAAAACGCCTGCAGGCAGTAGCAGCACGCCACGCCAAATACCGCGTGCGTGAGAGCGAGAGAGAGATCGCGAAGAGAGCACGGCCGGCTAAATGGGAGAGTACCGTGGCGAAAATGAGACAAAACCAGTTGCCCTCCAGGCATCAAGGCAAAAACAACCACCTTACCGGCAGAGCGAGAGCGCAACACCCACTGCCGCGTGATAGCAATGGGCGAAAGCAGCGCAGCACTACGATTGCTGCGGGGAGGGTGTGAGAATTCCTGCGTCAGAGCGTAAACAGCGCTGCCAGCGTCGGCAGAAGGCTCTCCCAACCACAGCAGCGTCGTGTTAAGCCACTGCTAATGTCCTGTTAACCCGCTCAAATCGCTGTTAAGTGAATGTTAAGAGTGTTAAGACCAATGTTAAGCCACTGGCCAGGCTGTTAGCGGTGAAGAGAGCGAGAGCGGGTGCTGGTGCTGCCGCTGTCGCTGCCGCCGCTGGCAGAGGCCACACAGCTCTCTCGTGGTTTAAAAGTACTACACTTAATTACCGTTCTATCACATCACGCGCAGCAGCAGAGAAAATCTGTTTGGACCTATACATGTGCACGTATATACTGTCGGCGAAATTCGGTCTTTAATTTGTTTGTGTTTTTTTGCTCGTGTTTTGTGCATGCATGGTTTGTTGTTGTTTGTTGGCGTGCAATTACCAACGGCAAACGTACAAACAAACATACGAAACATATATCGCGACAATAAATGCCAAAAGCCATGGCCAAAATGTGTGTTTAACAAAAAAAAAATTAACTAAAGAATTTCAAGAAACTAAACAAAAAAAAAAAAATATCTGAAAAAACGAAAACTATCTGTGGAAATGTGCATCAAATTTTGAGAAGAAAAACAATATCCGGAACATCTACAACATACAACTTGCAACAGCAAGTGGCAGTAGCAACATCTTAGACACCAGCAAACGGTAGCAATTTGCAACAAGAGAGAGCTTTCAAAATGATCGATGCGGCATGCAATTATCTGAATCCCTATGCGACGCAGCAACAGCACGCGCAGCAGCAACACATCCACAACATGCAACAGCAGCAACAACATCAGCTCCTCCCGCAGCACCACTTGCAACATCACCTGCAACACCAGCAGCAACAGCAACAGCAGCAGCAACAACAACAACAGCAACATCAGCTTTTACCCCAACAACAACAACAACAACAGCAGCAACAGCAACAGCCACAACAACAACATCACGACTTCCTTAGCGCCGCTCTACTATCCGCCCCCTCATCCCTCTCCGGATCATCAAGCTCCTCCGGCTCTAGTTCCGGCAGCTCTCCGCTATACGGTTCCGTTTCCGTATCCACCAAGTCGGCGCCCATGAAGCTGGAAATGCCATATCCCCAGGCCTCCTCCACCGGCACCGCCTCCCCCAACTCCAGCATCCAGTCCGCCCCCTCCTCCGCCTCGGTGTCGCCCAGCATCTTCCCCTCGCCCGCCCAATCCTTTGCCTCGATCACGGCGAGTCCCACAACGCCCGTATCCGGAGGCACTGGCTCCAACTCGGTCATCGGTAGCATGTCGGTAGCAGCAGCAGCAGCGGCGGCAGCCGCAACGGCAGCAGTTACGGCAGGATCAGTGTCTGGAGCTGGATCCGGTTCAGGATCCGTATCCGCCGCCTCATCACCCTCCTCGGCCGCATCGGCGGCAGCAGCAGCGGCGGCGGCGGCAGCGGCAGCAGCGGATTTGGGGGCAGCAGCGGTGGCAAGTGCCGCCTATGGATGGAATACCGCATACTCCGGACTTCCAGCAAGGTAAATATTTTTAAGAGTTTTTTTTAAAAAAATATCTTTTGGTTTTTGAAATGTTTTTTTTAGAAATTTTGAGGTTTTTTTTAAATGAAATTTGAGAAGAGGGTTTTCTAAAAACTCAGTTTATATCTTTGGGGTATCTTTGTATCTTTTAACTTGTATCTTTTGAAAAATATCTTAAAAAACTTTAATTTTTGGAAGAAAGATAGGAAAAGTATCTTAAATATTGACTTGAAAGGCTTAAGAAACCTCCTTAAAAGCAGGCAATTATCTGAAGAATATAAAGATATATATGTATCTAAAGTTTTGGATAGTTTATAGTACTATATCTACTATAGTATTATTTCATTACAACTACCACATTATTTAAAAGATTATCATTACCAGATATATGGTTCCAAATTGAATAATATCTGACATCACTGAACCCATAGATTCTCATATAATTCTCTCTAATCCATTACAATTATCACTGGAATAATTATTATAGATCTAAAGATATAAGTAGCAATTAATTAAAGACCATTACGGTATAATAATAGGGTTTTTAGAGATCTACTAGAAATATTATTAAAATTGTAAAATTTTCTTATTCTTCCAGAAGCCAGTTCCCGTATGCCCAATACGCATCCGATTATTATGGCAATGCTGTGGGAATGTCCTCATCGGCGGCCTGGTTCTCGCACCAGGAGCGCCTGTACCAGCCATGGAGCTCACAAAGCTATCCGGGCTTCAATTTTGACGACATTGCCTTCCAGACACAGTTGCAACGTCGTTCGGTGCGTTGCACGTGCCCCAATTGCACCAACGAGATGAGCGGCCTGCCCCCGATCGTCGGACCCGATGAACGTGGTCGCAAGCAGCACATCTGCCACATTCCCGGCTGTGAACGGTTGTACGGCAAGGCGTCGCATCTAAAGACCCATCTGAGGTGGCACACCGGTGAGCGGCCGTTCCTGTGCCTCACGTGCGGCAAGCGATTCTCCCGATCGGATGAACTGCAGCGCCACGGCCGGACACATACCAACTATCGCCCCTACGCCTGCCCCATCTGCTCCAAGAAGTTCTCCCGCAGCGACCATCTCAGCAAGCACAAGAAGACCCATTTCAAGGACAAGAAGAGCAAGAAGGCCCTTGCCGCGGAGGCCAAGGAACAGCAGGCGGTCATCAAGCAGGAGAAGAAGGACAAGAAGTCACTCGGCAAGTCACCCCTCACCCCGCCCGTCGAGTTCAAGCAGGAGCAGTCGGAGAATCCTCTGGTGAACTACACGCCCTATGGAAACTATGTGAGTGGAGGAGCGGCCGGAGGAGCGGCAGCTAATCAGGCACCACCACCACCGCCCCCGCTCTTCCAGCAACACCAGATGGTGGGCGGCGGCGGTGGCGCCACCTATGAGCCCTGGAACCGTGCCACTACCTCGAACTCTGCCTCCCGATCCACTTCCTCCTCGGCGGCCAGTTCCCCAGCGGTGGGCGGTGCCGCCTCCTCGCCCGCCTCTGCCTCCGCCTCAGCCTCCGCCTCTGCATCCACCTCCGCCTCGGCTTCGGCCTCGGTTTCTGCCACCGCCTTGGCCCAGCATCACTACGCCGCCCTGGCCATGCAAAGTGAATCCCAGCTGGCGGCCGAATACGGCCTGACGATGAGCGGCCTGGCGAGCGGTGCTAGCCAGGACTCCAGCTCCAGTTGCCACATGAAGTCCGAGTATGCGGCGGCGGGCTATCCGCCAGAGTTTGGAGCAGGAACCGCCGGTTATGGCTATCCTCCGCACCATCCCCACCATCACAATGCCTGGGCAGCAGCCTATCATCCACATGCGGCCACCTAAGCTCCTCCAACCGCCACCAATTGTTGAATCATCAAATGCCATAAAAAAACCCAAAAGACAAAAACCTAAGGCAGCAAGTGTAGTGTGTTTTTTTTTTCAGTGTGTTATTGTTGATAAAATATATATATATATATATATTATATATTATATTTAATGAAAACTAAGTGTTTGTTAGCCTTTAAGATAATGAATGGAAAATATTTGCAAACAAAAGGAAACAAAAAAAAAACTATATAGTATATTCTATGATTGTATATCCTAGCTAGTTCTAAGGACATGAATTTTTTTCTTCCCCAAAAAATACTAGAAAACACTAGAAAACCCATTTTTTTTTCAAAATCCCCCCAAAACTAGTTAAGAATTTTTTTTTGCATGTCTGTAAATATTTTAGCAATATTTAAGCCATATATATATATTTAGAAAACTTACAAGAATCACAAAAAAATATGAAACCATCTAGTTGTGTACCATAATAATTGTTAATTGTCTTTAAGATAAATTATATTAAAAACAAAATGCTAAAAAAAAAAAAACTACAACCACAACCAAGGCGACAACAAATTCCCAAAAAACAACAAAAATCCTAACAATAAAAAAAAACGAACAAAATTATATTGGAAAACAAAAGCAATTCAAGGTTTTCTTTCTTTTTTTTTTCAAAAAAATTCACCCTTGGGTCTGGAAAGGTTTCTTTCTCTATAGACCAGACTTGTCGGGGGTTTGTGATCTTTCAAAGGTTCTAAGGGTTGGTTTTTGGTCTAACCAGGAAGCTTCCCTACTTCCGGGGAACTGGATATGCTTGGGGTGCTGATCTTGCAAATGGGGGAGACTTTCAGAGACAAAATGGTTAATACCTCATCATAAATCTGGTTGGGTTTATATAGTGTTAGGGTTCTATAATAATTTTATGAGATTTTAAAGATTCTAGAAAGTGATGAAGGTGTTTTTTAAAATTTATTTTAATATTTTTAATATAAAACGAAACTTTTTTTTGGAGTTTTAAAGGAATAAGGACCTTGGATCCTTAATTAATGGACCTTGGAAGGATTAAGTCTTGGATGTTCTGGAAAAAAAAAAAAATGTTCTGGACTCTAGAGTTTCGAACTCTTTACCCCTTTAAGAAAGTTTCCCTTTTAAAAATGGCATTAATTTTAAGAGATTTAAATAGATTTATTTTAAGAAATATATTATATAGCTTCGTAAACCAAAAATCCCTAAGAAACTCTATGAATAATATTAAAAATGATCTATCTAGATTCTAGACTTTACTACCCACTCTTATATTTCCCCAAAACATTTATCTCTCTGCTAGTTGATCAGAAAATCGTATGTACAGTCTTAGTCCACACTGGTCTAACTCCAATTTAATTTAATCTGTCTGGTAGTGGCAGTCGCCAGATATCACATAACTCAGCCCCAGAAGAGATCCACAAGAATATTCATTCAATATGTGAGGCGGCCAATGAGAGTCAATTTACTGAGACGACTATCCCACTTTGTGGTTGGATACCAATATTCAATACCCCAATACCATACGAAATGAATGGCCCAACAATATATATATATTTTTCTTTTTTGTAATTAAACATCGAAGAGGAAAAACTTTGTCCCAGGCTTTTGGATACCACAATGATGGCGTGAAGATTGCCAATCGCTGAAGATTCAAACTACAAAAAAAAAAAGAAAAAAAAGAAAGAGATCCAATGCAGATACCCCGTAGATCGATGGCGGCCAATATAAAATATTGATTTATGTTTCCCTGCCCGGGCATCAATCAATTTTCAAGTTGAGTGAGCGCCAAGCCCCCCGAAGAGCCCACGCCCATTTTCTCCTCCCGGTTCAACTCCTGTTTCTTACTTACTACTTTTTATTTTTATTTTTTTTTTAATGCAAGTTGTGCAAGCGGTTGACAACCTTAACGTATTTGTGGTACTATATTTATTTTTTTTACATTTTTTTTTTTATCAGTTTCACACGCACGTTAATCATACGCCGCATTGGCCGCCTCCTAACCCTTTTTTTTTTGGGGGTATACCCCTCTCTAAATGGCAAACAAAATCTGATTGATTTATAACTCAAGACTGCGGTCAGGCGGTGGAAAGTCGAAGGGAAAAATACAACAAAAAAATACAAAATAAAATCTCTCGGCTTAATGATGATAAATGATGATGTTATGATTTGTTAATTTTTCTTCGCGTCTCCGCGTCTCGTCTTTTATTGCGTAGAGGAGTTAACCCGAACATGAGGTATTCGTTTTATATATATTTTCCCATTTTTTTTTGGTCAGTGTTTAATGGCCCCGAAAAAAAAAACAAAAATGTTGTACGACCAGGCGAAAGTGTAATTTTAAGTATGGGTTACAGAAACGCTTTAAAATATATATATTTTTCAGACATTTCAGTTCAGAAATTTGTTTCTTTCCTCAAATAGTTTTCGTTTATAGATTTTTGTTGTTCGAAATTACTAGGTTTTTCGGGTTTTTTAGGAATTGTTTAAAGTGAAACTCTGTAATTGAAATTATTAGTATGGTTTTTTAAGAGAGATATTTATAAAAAAAAGTACTTTGTTTCTTTTATTTTTTTAAGAAATATAGGATTATATGGGACACATATTTCCTTTTTGAAGAAGAAAAAAAATTGTTTTTTTTTTGAGGTTTATTGTAAAGAAATCTATTTAGTTTTATGAAATATGAAAACTAGGATTTTATAATGTTATTTCGTAAATATTAGAAGGTTTTATATTGGTTATACTTATAAGAAATACTACCTTTCATGAATACTACGTTTTCATGAAAAATACTTTAAAAGCAAAACGTTTTTGAAGCTTCGTCATTAATTAATTAGTTCTATTAAAAAACACCTATGAACCTTTCCTGTTAAAGGTCTAAACAGTAAGAAACCTAAAAACTCAGAAGGTAGAAATTTAGGACCTTAGGACCTAGGACATACCATTTTTAAGGAAAAACAGAATTTTTGAAAAAGCTACTCTTTAAAAAAAAGTTGTCAATTATTAAAATTATTTCATAACATTTTCAAACCCCAAGCTTCCATAATATATGGAATATTCTACTAAAAGAGTACCACTTTTCTTGTTTACATTTAAAATTACTTATCCCTTTATCAACCTGTTACAATGAACAAAATTTAACAAATTATGAAATCACTTTCAACAACAAAAAAATAACAAAATCCTAAAGAAGTCATAACTGAAGCCACTCGACGAACCACAAGTATCCACTTGGAAAGGCGGCAGGGAATTAACATGGATCCAGAAGCAATAGATTACAAACTGGAGTAAGGTCACTGGAGTGAAAATACCGAAAAGGAAAGAGTTTCTCAGAATTTGTGGTCAACTGACACCACACACCTAACAAGTACCACTTGAGAATCAGATTTTTGGATTCAGATTCCGATTTCGATGCCGATTCGGTAATACGGAACGTAATCCAACGTAAGTGTTGTCACACATACTTGGGAGGAGCGAATGCTTCTGGGCACGCTTCAGCTCCTCCAAGGACATCTCAAGGACTCAGGGACTAAAGAACTACATTTTTTTTTTTTGGGTAACCAGAGATCACTCTAATTTTGATCCAAGCTATAAATAATCGAGCACTTGACTCTCCGACATTTCCATAGAATTGATGTTTTGATCTTAGGCGCCCAGGCGATCCTGTGAGAGATCCTTTTTGGAGGACGAGAAAATTGAGTTGAGATTATCTCTCGCTGCCTGAACGCTAAGCAAGCGTGTCTAAAATAAAAAAGGTCCTTTCGTCTACGAAAAAAACAAAAAAATGAAAAAGAAAAGGAGCTATGATCGAACATGACTTAACTAGAAAATGTTTTATGTTTCATCGGCACTTGGTATTTATTAGTTTTTTTCTTCACATTTTTGTGGGCGTGCTTGACATGGTCATCGGTGATTATAAATTTCGGTTATGTCCTGCGGTCTATTGCCGAGTCCTGTGTGTGTCCTGGCATATGGCCCATATCGTATATTTTGCCTGGCGATGCGGGTGCTGATGCAGAAAACAAAAAGAAGAAAAAATGATGCGAGGATGACATGTGGTTAAAGGATAATCGCGCAACAGGATCGCAATCTCCTTGTTTTTGCTCAAGGCCCTCTTGAGGTCTTCTCCGGGGGGGATTAAAAGATACAAGCGATTGTCCAGTTGGTTGGTTAGACCCATGGCTCGGATATAATATCTTAATTTGCGGCACAGATTGCGCATTTCAGCAACTAAGCCGGAAAAAGGGGATACTCTGGACTGTGGTCTCTGGGGAAAATAATTACGGGAAAGTGTTGCCGGAAAGACTAATTAAAATGGTGATTGTATCGAGAGGTATTAAGTGGTGCTAATTAAGGCAGTGAGTGACTTAAGGATTAGTGTTAAAAATTTGATATTAAAGGAAGAGAAGACAAATGGTATCTTATAGCTTTTTTAAAGAATTTGTTTATTTCCCAAAGGTTTTTATTTAATGCTCATTATATTTAAAAATTTCATAAAGACTAAAATGATAAGTCCCTAAGGATGAGTGTTTTAAATAGAAGGCTATTATAGGATAGGATTTTTTTTCTTTTTTTAAGATTTATTTGTTTTTTTTTTATATCTAAGGTTTTGTAATATCTATTAAGTAATATTTTGTATATCTAAGGTTTAAGGTTTTGTAATTTTATATATATTTTTGTTTAAGAAAGACAAGAAATAGGTTGGAACACTTAAAATTAAAAAATTTTATAAACGTTATAAAAAAGACAGCTATTGAAGGAATAAAAGAGTGCCGGCTATCATATATTTGCTTTTTAGATAGTTTCTTAGAAAGATAGATGGTTTTGGAAGGAATTTCCTTCATTCTTAAAGGTTTGTTTGCTTAAAGACTCTTTTATGTAATATAAATCTCTACTCTATGTTTTTATTCGTTTTCTATAGTATTTTTAGAACCTAACTTACCTTAAATATGATAAGTCTATAAGGATAAGGATTAAAAAAGAAAAACTACAAGAAAGGAGAAGAGTACTGGGCATCGTATAGAGGTTTTTAAAATAGTTTCTTTTAATATTCTAAAAGTAATTTTGTATCTTATAGTCTCTCTTTGATTTGTAGTCTCCCATGTAAGGATTTATCCGTTGGCGGAAATAAATAAATAAAAAAAAAGGACAAGAATAAAGGACTAATAAAGGACTTAACGTAGAATTAAAAATTAAGGCTATCATATTAAAGTATGATCGCTAGATAATATACTATAATCCATAAATAGTCAATAAAGGACGAAATTGCGAGATAGTATAATGCAAACCATAGATAATGCAGAAGATTTTATAAGGTACACATTCTATTGAAATCTACATTCTATATTTCAAAAGTATTCTTTAATAGTTTTTCTATAAAATATACCCTAAACCCCTAAATACTCTTCCCTTTTCTTTTGAATTTCAATTAATTACCCCACAAGTACTCCAATGAATATCGAATAAGTAAGCACTTCACATAACATAGTCCTGTTGAGAACTACCAGTGCTTCGTCCTGATTTCGGCACGTGACCCAATCAATGTCGAACACATCAGACCGTGACAATTGCTAAGGATATGAAGGATTGAAGGCGTTCTATGAACGAATGGGGGGCGCTATAGGG